CTTAACCTGTTCAAGTCAAGGGTTAATTTTTATCTTTCCCACATATCCTATTAAATACTGCCTCTTACTTTTTTAACTTTCTACCTCGAGTGTTTGTTGAAGTGAATAGCATTGTAAAAAAGTTGATCGTTAGCGAGTACAACCCAAGGTACGATTTACGATATGCTGGCGTCAGAATCAAAGCAGGTACAGAGATTTAACTCTCTGGGAAGTTATATTTGGTTTGGTTTGGTTTGGTTTGGTTTGGTTTGTTATACGTCATAACAACCTCAATGGGTTATTTAATGCCGACAAAATTTTATGTTCTTCCTCAGCGCGATTCCTTGTCATGCGAAACTGACTTCCTTTAAAAGATATTTCTCATCCTCAAGTTTGTTTCTGCGCCAAAATTTTCGGAACCAACGTAGTTGCTTGGTTAGTTTTTTTTTACGGTTTATCAACACTTTGTAGGTTATTTAAAGCCGAAAAATATTTTTTGGATGCTAAGAAATTTTTTTTTGGTAAGCGAATATTGCATTAACAATTTTTTGAGAATAATAGTTTTCTTTCATAAATTCTACTCTTTACTTTTACGAGTCATTTAATGCCGAATTTAATGTTCTTGTGTGAACATATTTACTAGAGAAGGTGATAGCTTAGATGTGGCACAAGGCCGAAATTAGGGGGTACCCAGTGAGGATCGGACTCACTACTCAGTCGTAATTGTTCTAGCGGGCCAAGCTTGCTAACCATTACACCGCTTCGAGGTGCCCGAACAAGAGGAGGTGATATGTGTGTTTTATGTTGTAGTTTTGCTAAAGTTATATTTTGGAATACAGTTTGATTCTTTTAAGAAATAAAAATAGGATATTATATGGACTAATGTAATGAAAGAATTCTTTCATGTCGGTTGCCTGGTGGATCTAAGGGTTATTTAATGTCAAAATCTAAATATTTTGAACAATATTTTATGTCTTTAACTGAAAGTAAGATGTACTGTTGGTTTGGTTTGGTTTGGTCTGGTTTGTTTTACCAACCTCAATGGGTTATTTAATACCGAGAAAATTTTTATTGCTGGTGATATTTTTTCCTTCAAAAATCTACTTTTGTTAATAATTTTTTCTTCAAACATTTATTGCTGGTAATATTTTTTACAAAAAGTATTTCTGGTATTAAAACCTATTTTTACACTTTCTTAATGTTTTGACCCCCAGTTTGGGGGTTAAATATTTGCCCATAACTGCGACCCTAACAGGTGCTACCACACCGGGTAAGGTTGGACCTAGGAACACCAGCAATTAAGAGGTGGTTCCACGCTCCTCAAAACCTCCTGATCAGAGGTCTTGCTGTTGGACGTAGTTTATCGTCTTAACCAGGACGCGGATGTAGTTTATCGTCATACCCAGGACGGGGTAAGTCATATAAGAGAAGTCGTAAAATATGACACCGAAATCCGAAGTCGTATTGAAATAGTAACATATGCTTCCCATAGATTAATGAAAGCATTAACCAGCAATCATCATATTAACCGCGTTACAATGAAAATAACTAAAAAAAAATAAAAATAAATACATCATCCTAACTCTGGTGATGCGTAGAATTTTTTTTTCCAAATAATCATTAGGACATCGGCGATCATTGCGATACACAGATTACTTTTCTATATTATCTTGGATATGATAATGAAGTGGTTTCCTGTTGCCATATCCGCGGTATTGAAAGTCAGAGTTGACCTTCCCTAGATCTGATTGCATACCTTCACCTTCTGGAAAGATATAAGTCACTGTTGGCTCGGAAGTTGATATTTGGCATTTTTTTTTAACCTTTTCCAAGTGATATGTGTTATATCCAGTCTGAAAAGAGGCTCTCTTAGGATTTCAGAACTAGTCGAATTTCATCATAATTCTAAGTATTAGTAAAATTATGTACGTTTGAAGTTATGAAAACTCAGTCAGTCAGTTATGTGCCATGCGTGATACACACTTTGGCGATCATGTATCTTTCGATACATGACTGACGAGGCAGATTTTTTCCCGCAGTAAGTTGCCATTTCTTTCTGCAGTAGACCAGTTGCTATCCAACGCTATAGAACCCGGTCTGTCCTGCTAGGGGGAGAAGAAAAGGATTCATACCTTTGCCAAAGGTATTAGCATATAAGTGAATGTAATGGATTCGACTGGAATTCGAACTCGGCTCTCCAATTTCTCAATCCGAGCGGCCTAATAAAAACTTGCAGGTGTATAATCACTCTCTTTTAGATAAGTTCTGGATAGTTGATTTGTGTGTCTCTTTTTTTAGGAGAGTCATTGGTATCGTATTGAAATTAATAAATAAAAAAAGAGCAGAAAGGTTTAATACTCTATTTGGAAACTGACCTAGATCAAGTGGGCCCTCCAACAAAAAAAATCAATTAAATTACTGTATATACACGCGTATAATGCAAACTTGAAAGACCTAATTTTGAAGCTAATCCACAGTAAATGGATATATAGTGTGTTCAACAGCGTAGACAAGTCCAGCAGTACATAGCCTAATTTTATATCACGTGTATGATGCGACCCCCTTAAAATTAACTTCAAAATTAGGACTTCAAAAGTCGCATGATACGCGAGTGTAATATGGTAACTATTTTTTTTTATTTTTTATTATTTTTTATTTATTTATTTATTTATTTTTTGCTATCAGGTGTTTGATGAGTTGATAAAACACACGAACGTAGGTATATGTATATTTATTAATATATATATATATATATATATATATATATATATATATATATATATATATGTGTGTGTGTGTGTGTGTATGTATCTGTGTGTGTGTGTGTGTGTGCGTGTGTGTGTGTGTGTTCTCTGGAAGGCGGAAGCAATCTTACAGACAATAGTCATGTGACATGTTCAAGATTGTTCATCAATGTCATAAAAATATTTTTGTGATTATAAAATATCATTAAGTCTAAATAACGCCTGGATTTAGTCTGCACTGATGACGGATAATAAAAATGCCAAGCCTTTCCACTGCACTCCCAAACACATCCGCTCATACGGTAAGATAAAATCATTTTGAATGTGTATAATGAAATCAGAAGCCGACTTATGACACGTTGTCTGCGACTACAAAATTAGGTCCACTGCCACATTTTCTTCCGTTCAAATTCCCCCGTTTTTTCGTTTCTTTTTTTTTATATACTAAAATCCACTCAATACAAGACTCGAAATCAAGTCAAGGTTGAGAGTTACTCTTAAAATGGTTATGATGAATGTCACATGAATGTAATGGTGGTCACAAGAAGTGGATAAAGTTGGCAGGTAAGGATTGGTCCTTGACTTAAAACGATCTTTCTCACCTGTTTTAAGCAACAGCACATCTAGGAAGAAATGAAATATCACGGTACACATAACAAAATATTTAAATGGTATACGTTTAAATGTTATGAAATAAAACCATAGATTAAAAAAAATACACGTACAAATATAAACTTACTTTATTTCAAAGTTTCTATTCAACTATTTGTGCAGATTTAATTAATTTGAAACCTGTCCCTAGTATTTTTTTGGCAATTTTTTCATTTTTTGGTCGAATGTGCGATAAACAGATCTCGCTTCTTATTTTTATGTTAATTAGGTTTGACAATCATAATTCACGCAAATAAGTAGAAAATTGCAATAAAATTGAGAAGCCCTCTTTAGCTAGTGTGGGATATTGCTTTTGTATTGAAATCCAAAATATATTAATGGATGACAATATTTCGCGGTTGTGAATTACTGACTTACAGAGAATAAATTTGTAGTTTTCAGAGAAACACCCATGTGAGCGTGTGTAGCAGTAGCAGTACCAGAGAAAAAAAAATCTATCCGGGTAGTACTTTCTCCTTACATTGGGAACACTGGAGATATGCAGCTGATTCAACTCTGTAGATGTAGCTTGGCCTGGTCTAGGTGTAAACATTTGAACTAATGGAACTAAAGAAAGGATCTATTCTGAATATTTACTTTGGAAATAGACATAGAGTCGCGAGAGCATTTCAACGTTGCGACAGTAAATGAGAGATTTGCAGCAAGGGAAATAACTCTTCTCCTAATAGAACATGAAAAATAATCGTTAACTGTATAAAGGCTGAAAGTCAGGATTTAGCAGTTCCAGTCTAAATATGACAGGAATACACTATTTACATTATTCGGACTATTGTCCTCATCTTTGTTGCCATATTTATCACAACGTTTCAGTTTGAGTTCAATACCTCGTTAAGGCGGTGGAGAACTTGGAGGGGTTAATTAACAGGAGATAACTGATAAATGACATCCATTAGACATGGCACGTAGAACTAGAACAGTCTACTCCAGCGAGAAAAAAAAATGAACTACAGTCTGTTGTTAACTGGGGCAAGGAATGGCTCATTAACGCCTCCAAAACGAAACTCCTCTCTATTAATCGCCTGAAAGATCCCCTTCCTGCCTCCCATCAGCATGACTAATGCTAACCACCAAGAGAGTGACTCGTTGCATTTTCATGGGCTTATATTCTCGACTGACATGAAATGGAAAAAATTACATTGAATCCACATTACATTAGATCTTCTACTAAAAAGTGTGATTCTCTGCTGAATCTCCTGAATCTACTATTAGTCCATACTTTGAATACTGGTGCCATATATGGTCCTGTGCCTCTTCTGTATATTTAAATATTTTTGATAAAATCCAAAGAAGAATCAGTAGTATTACTAGTCCTGACCCGGCGCCTCGGCATCAGTGATCGACTTCCCTGTGACTTTTCTATAAATATTTTCATGGCAATTGTTCCGATAAACTCTTCGATATGGTACCTAAACTTTAAGAATTTAAGTGCAGTACTAGATTCCAAGCTTTCATCAATTTACAGATTATAGGCTAGATATAGATGCATAGTTCTATGCTGACATTTTCTTTTTTCCTAATTCTCGCTTGTGGAACCCTTTTCTGGCTCTATGCTTTCCATCCAACTTTGAAATATAATGTTCACTCAATACAGGGCCCATGGGTCACTCAAAGTAGAAGGCAGATAGATAGATAGATAGATAGATAGATAGATAGATAGATAGATAGATAGATAGATAGATAGATAGATAGATGTGTGGAGTTGTATCAGCGTAGGAAATGGCAAGAAATAGAAGTTATTCGGTCTATGCAGGAAACATAACAGCTAATTTTTGACGTGAAGAGGTCAAAATTTAATTAGTAAATAAATTTTCAGAATTCAGGCGAAAACGTTGAAATAGCCATTAGAAGGAACTGGAAGCCAAATCCTAAACAGCAAAGAAGGAATAAAACTCTATTCCCGTTGAAAATCACGGAGAGGAGTGTGAACCGGATGTTAGGCGAACCTTTCTACTCCGATTGGGAGAAAAAAAATAATAATTACAGAATAACATTTCTGAGTCCAGGCGGAGACGTCAGAAGTATAGAGTTGAAGTAACGGGACACCCAATCCTAAACACGAAGCAAGGCATAAACCTCTGCTCCTGATAAAAAAAAAAAATATGAGGAGGTGTACGAACCGGTCGATAGGCAAACCTGTCTACTCCTGTTGGGGCGGAAAAAGAAAATAATTAATGAATAAAATTTTACAGATCAGGCGGAGAACGCGAGAAACATAGAACTGAATCAGACTTTAGTTTAGAGGGAACTAGAAGCATAATCCCAAACCGGAATAAGTAAATAAGTATTAATTAAAATTACGAAAGTTAACTCAGAATATACAGTATGCGATGGGTAAATTGTCGACATTTCATATTTTTAATTTCCCGCGTGCGTCTTGTCTGTTTTTGATTTTGTCGACTGCACAGTATAGTGGGGTCAGGTAGGCACCGTCTGTGAGATAAAAAGCACCATGACGCAATTCACTCCGCCAGATATTTCGAAACGGCATGCTATACTGCTTGGCATTCGCACTGGAAGCACCGGAATACAAACAGTTCAGTGTATTTGGGTGTCAATCTGAGGACAGTACAGAGGATTCAGAAAGAGTGGAATGAGTCTAATGATGATTACGAAGGTACGGCAATTCGAAAATCTCACTCTAATTGTTCTGTTAAATAAAGAACAACTGAATTTGTTGTTGAGCGCCTGATACTAATTATCAACATGGAGGCCTACATCAAGTGCCTTGACGAGGTAGTGCTACCCTGGGTCAAGAGGGTGGCCGCTGGAAGTACTATGCCTGGCAACAGGTCTCTGTCCATACAATACAAGAAGAAGGACCCAGTCATAGCTGTTAGACAATTTCTGCAACCACATCACCCCTTACATTCGGCCACATAACTCGCCAGACTGCAAAAAACTCCTTGTAACACCAAAGGTGAACTGAAGGCAAGGATTATGGTAGTATTCACCAACAAGGAGACTGCCCAGAAGAGTTGCAGAAGAATTCGAAGTCGACTGGAGGCTGGCGTTAAAACAAATGGGTATTTTATTAAATAAATCTATTCAAGGTATTGTTGTGTAATTTTTGTAATTATATCTGTTGAAATGAGATGTCAATATAATTTTCATTTCGTGTGTGTGTGTGTGTGTGTGTGTGTGCATGCACGCGCGTCATTTAGGCGATAATTTATCCATCGCACACTGTAGATAGATCTGAACGGATTGAGATAAAAGGCAGATAGATAGATAGATAGATAGATAGATAGATAGATAGATAGATAGATAGATATGAACAGATTGAGATAATAGATAGATAGATAGATAGATAGATAGATAGATAGATAGATAGATATGAACGGATTGAGATAGATAGATAGATAGATAGATAGATAGATAGATAGATAGATAGATTGGGATAAAATGCAGATAGATAGATAGATAGATAGATAGATAGATAGATAGATATGAATAGATTGAAATAAAAGGCAGATAGATAGATAGATAGATAGATAGATAGATAGATAGATAGATAGATAGATTGGGATAAAATGCAGATAGATAGATAGATAGATTGGGATAAGATGCAGATAGATAGATAGATAGATAGATAGATAGATAGATAGATAGATAGATAGATATAAAAGGCAGATAGATAGATAGATAGATAGATAGATAGATAGATAGATAGATAGATATGAATAGATTGAAATAAAAGGCAGATAGATAGATAGATAGATAGATAGATAGATAGATTGAGAGGAACAAATTCAAACAGAACTTCTACGTCTGTTACTACAAACAAAATACAAGCAAACTATATAAGATGAAAGAAATACGAGAAAAAAATTAATAATAATTGACAATGATTCATGTAAGAAATACGAGCAATTAAGTCTATTGTATCTTCTGAGTGCCAAAGCAAAAGAAATAAGATAAAAGAATTATAACTAAAATCCTTGTGAAATGACGACGCATCATTTTGAATAGTCGCTTTTATTATTGCAAGGCAGTTTATATTCAATACCAAGAACTGTTTCCCGAATGCAAATATTTGTGGGTATTTCGAATATTGTAAAAGTATTAAAATTCACGGCCCGCTATTCTTATAATTGTTCCTTCGTCCCATCATATTATCAAGGAAATAGCGGTCGATAAAATAAAAAATAAAAAAAAATTGCAGGCTCCATCACTCTGTCCGATGACGTCAGCTCAAGAGCATTGAATTATGAGAAAATCCTGATAATCCATCAGGCTAGGGGTTATACTCTGTGTCTCCACATGCCTTTATCTACAAAGCGGGATTCCTCTCTGTGGCGAAGCGTATCGCATTGGCCCTTTCAAGTAGCAAATATTGCCCCTCCCTGGAGTCATTTCATTTAGCGTCTTACAGCTTGTCTATTCCCATAGTTCTTTTAGGGGCTTCAGTGAAAGAAAGAGGGGGATAACTGGGGTTTCCATGACAACGAAGACACGAAGGGAATGGAAAATAAGGAATTTCAGACGAACTGTTCGGGGGAGGATGTTAAAAGGAAAGAGATAAAATGGAGTCAGCGGTCAGGTTTTTACAGGCACGGCAACCATATTTGTTTGCCTCCCCTTTTAGAGGGATTCGACTTTGCAATCAATCATATTTATCTATTCATCCAGAATTTCTAATCTATCCTCTTTCCTTCCTTCATTTCTATCTATCTATCTATCTATCTATCTATCTATCTATCTATCTATCTATCTAAATCTGGTCATTATCTATTTTAGACTTTTAATATCTATCTTTCTATCCCATCAGGTTCTTTATTTATTTATTTATCAGTCTGTTCACATCTATCTATCTATCTATCTATCTATCTATCTATCTATCTATCTATCTATCGAAATCTCTTCATTATCTATCTATTTTAGACTATTTTATCTATCTTTCTATCCCATCAGGTTCTTTCTTTCTTTCTTTCTTTCTTTCTTTCTTTCTTTCTTTCTTTCTTTCTTTCTTTTCTCAGTCTGTTCTATCTATCTATCTATCTATCTATCTATCTATCTATCTATCTGTTCTATTCACATACTTATATGTCAAGTCTCTGTCCTTGTCTGTCTGTCTCTGTCTGTCAGTCTGTCTGTCTGTCTCTCTCTCTCTATATATATATATATATGTATATGTATATATGTGTGTGTGTGAGAGAGAGAGAGAGAGAGAGAGAGAGAGAGAGAGAGAAAGAAAGAAAGAAAGAAAGAAAGAAAGAAAGAAAGAAAGAAAGAAAGATATATATGTATACATCTGCAAACCGCACATATTTACACATCGGAAAGTTCACGAAGTGTCTCAACCAAAGCCTTCACGACTTCATTCAGCCGGGCAGTTCGCGTTATCTTTGCTTATTTCAAACACTAATCGGCCAATAAATCAAACGGATCGATTTGCAACCATTGCACACCCCTTTTTTTCCACCCTGATTATTTTTGACAGAAAGGCTTTTGAAAAACTTCAAATACAAAAAAGATTAATGAGATCTTATTTTAGAGATTATTCTGCTTGGCCTCGCGATTTGGAAAGGTCTTCTCCATCCGTTTCAGACTTTCATGTGCTTAGCTAGACCTCTAATGGCGAGAGACCTCTTTGCCACATTGACTGCAGGAGAAGATCAGGTAACTGACCGGAGGCTTCGGATTTCGAGGAGTTTTTATTCTACTTATCTTTTAAAAATTTACATGTGGACTACTCATCTTTCTTGTTGTTATGACAACGTTTCGGCCGCTGTGTGCGCCGTCCATCATTTAAAACTGAACCGCCTATGGTTCGGCATACGTCGTCGATTGAACTTTTTGTGATACGTCCAAATCTACAATGATGTAGCGTGGCGTCTAAGTGATCGCGATTCTCTATACTATCCTCTATCCTGATCATTCTATGGATTACTATTTACTCATAAGTAGACTACGGGATCGTAAAAGAAAGGTATATATGGGGATTAGCGTGGCGTCTAAGTGATCGCGATTCTCTATACTATCCTCTATCCTGATCATTCTATGGATTACTATTTACTCATAAGTAGACTACGGGATCGTAAAAGAAAGGTATATATGGGGATTAGCGTGGCGTCTAAGTGATCGCGATTCTCTATACTATCCTCTATCTTGATCACTATGGATTGCTATTTACTCATAAGTAGACTACGTGATCGTAAAAGAAAGGTATATATGGAGATTAGCGTGGCGTCTAAGTGATCGCGATTCTCTATACTATCCTCTATCTTGATCACTATGGATTGCTATTTACTCATAAGTAGACTACGTGATCGTAAAAGATAGGTATATATGGAGATTAGCGTGGCGTCTAAGTGATCGCGATTCTCTATACTATCCTCTATCCTGATCATTCTATGGATTACTATTTACTCATAAGTAGACTACGGGATCGTAAAAAGAAAGGTATATATGGGGATTAGCGTGGCGTCTAAGTGATCGCGATTCTCTATACTATCCTCTATCCTGATCATTCTATGGATTACTATTTACTCATAAGTAGACTACGGGATCGTAAAAGAAAGGTATATATGGGGATTAGCGTGGCGTCTAAGTGATCGCGATTCTCTATACTATCCTCTATCCTGATCATTCTATGGATTACTATTTACTCATAAGTAGACTACGGGATCGTAAAAAGAAAGGTATATATGGGGATTAGCGTGGCGTCTAAGTGATCGCGATTCTCTATACTATCCTCTATCCTGATCATTCTATGGATTACTATTTACTCATAAGTAGACTACGGGATCGTAAAAAGAAAGGTATATATGGGGATTAGCGTGGCGTCTAAGTGATCGCGATTCTCTATACTATCCTCTATCCTGATCATTCTATGGATTACTATTTACTCATAAGTAGACTACGGGATCGTAAAAAAGAAAGGTATATATGGGGATTAGCGTGGCGTCTAAGTGATCGCGATTCTCTATACTATCCTCTATCCTGATCATTCTATGGATTACTATTTACTCATAAGTAGACTACGGGATCGTAAAGAAAGGTATATATGGGGATTAGCGTGGCGTCTAAGTGATCGCGATTCTCTATACTATCCTCTATCCTGATCATTCTATGGATTACTATTTACTCATAAGTAGACTACGGGATCGTAAAAGAAAGGTATATATGGGGATTAGCGTGGCGTCTAAGTGATCGCGATTCTCTATACTATCCTCTATCCTGATCACTCTATGGATTACTATTTACTCATAAGTAGACTACGGGATCGTAAAAGAAAGGTATATATGGGGATTAGCGTGGCGTCTAAGTGATCGCGATTCTCTATACTATCCTCTATCCTGATCATTCTATGGATTACCATTTACTCATAAGTAGACTACGCGATCGTAAAAGAAAGGTATATATGGGGATTAGCGTGGCGTCTAAGTGATCGCGATTCTCTATACTATCCTCTATCCTGATCATTCTATGGATTACTATTTACTCATAAGTAGACTACGCGATCGTAAAAAGAAAGGTATATATGGGGATTAGCGTGGCGTCTAAGTGATCGCGATTCTCTATACTATCCTCTATCCTGATCATTCTATGGATTACTATTTACTCATAAGTAGACTACGCGATCGTAAAAGAAAGGTATATATGGGGATTAGCGTGGCGTCTAAGTGATCGCGATTCTCTATACTATCTTATATACTCTTTCTGTTATGATTACTCTTTGGATTACTGTTCAGTGTTTACTATTCGAACAAGTATTACTAGTGCAAATATTATTGAAATGAGTTAATACTAGTATCTGCGATTCCAATGTCTCGACTACAACGAGAATTACGAACGTGATAATGAGCATTCGTTGACCTCACAAAAATGACAACAAGTAAACGTCTGACATTACAAATGAAACATAGTATCGAATCCCGCTGGAAGGCACATCTTATCTTTGATAAAATCTCTTGAGAATCTCGGTAGATGAAAATAAATAAATATACTGTTTAATTTAACAAGTAAACGGGGAGTCGATACAGATATGAGTATCCATTAATAAATAGCGTTGAAATGGTAATGTGTGTATATGTGTGTGTCTGTTGGCCGTTGACGCCTATAAGTTGCTCATCCGCCCTATAACAGGTCTTGTATCATGTTCGATGGAATAACAGTCCGCTCAGTAGAATACTTAGTAGGGGAGCTTGTCTAGACGCCAAACAATAAGCGGTAGGCTGTACTACGTTATATGTTACCAGTAGCAGGCCTAAGCCTGACCTGATCTTGACCAAGTTTGTACTTGCTAAATTGTGATAAAAAAGCTATGCAAATCTACTCGTAAAGCTAAGCAGTGTTAAACCTGGTCAGTATTTCAATGGGTAACCACTGACGTGTCCGAGATGTGGCACATCAAACTATGGACCAGTGTGGCGTTGTTTAACTTCCATGATCAGATGGGTATGAACAATTCTTGTTTTATTCATTTACCAAGCTTAGCTGCGTTCTGACACCACGCTAGAGTTATGGGTCACTGATTAATGATCGACCTCGATATATCGGTGAATCGATCAGCGAAACGCGTATTTGTTAAGCGCAGCTTTACAGTGATTGCTCTTGTCGGACGAATTGATTCACGCAAATAAATCTACTTCTAACGGGTTTCACATCCGCTCATTTTCTTTTGTAAAAAGTAAGATTTACAAAGGAGAACGTTGAATAAATCAGCAGTGAACAAAAATAAAACGTGGCTCTTAAGAAGAAGCGGACATCAGGTTAACGAATGACATGATGCCCTGTCAAATTTATAAGGGTTCAGCCTACAAAAGGGGTCGGTTGGTTGGAGAAATAGAAAAAATAGGGATTGAGAGAATCATTTTTTTTTTTTTTATCGCAGTATCTAAACTCAGAAGGCGAAAAAAGAAAAAGAAAAAAGAAGTGATATCATTGAGTGCAGTGACAAAAAACAAAGAATCTGCGTTCCGATCGAGTGAATATGGCTGAATGGGGAATGGAGGGAGGAGAATGTCGAGCCGACAGTTGAATGGTTCAGTGGTTGATGGGTTAGGAAAGGAATATTTATCATGGAATGCCGATCAGCTCAAAATTTGCTAGCGGGATCTGACAGACCATAGTTATGATCTTTTATGTCATTTGCATGTCTTTCCTTTTTCTTCTTTCTTTTTTCCTTTCATTATCATTTCCTCTCTTTCTTTCTTTCTTTTTTTTGTCTCTTTTTTACTCGGCTTCACTTGTAGACATTTTTCTTATATACTTTCTCTAAATTTCATTTGGCTTTTCGTTCTTTCTTTCTTTCTTTCTTTTTTCTTTAATTTCTTTCTTTCTTTATCGCGTTTTTTTTTCTACATTTCTTTCATTCCTTTTTCTTGTCTACTTTTTTCTTTCTTTCTTAATCTCGGCTTTCTTTCGTTTGTCTTCCTTGTCTACTTTTTCTTATAACTTTCTCCACATTTCACTGGTTTTTTGCTTGCCTTTTTTCTTTAATTTCCTCTCTTCTTTTTCTTCTTTTTCTTTCATTCTCTATTTCGTTTACTCTTTGTTTTTTTGGCTACTTATTTCTTTTTTGTATCGGCTTCTTTCTTTCTTTCTTTCTTTCTTTCTTTCATTCGTCTTCTTTGTCTATATGTTAATCATACACTTTCTCCAAATTTCAGTTCTTCTTTGTGCTCATCTTTCTTTTTTTCTTTCATTCTTTCCTTAACTTTCTTTATCTCTTTTTTCTTTCCTTTTCTATTTCTTTCACGTCATTTTCTTCTCTGTTTTGTGTTTGCTTCTTTGTTCTCATCTTTATTTATGTAATTTTCTTTTTTCTTCATCTCGTCTTTCTTTCTTTCTTTCTTTCTTTCTTTCTTGATCACCTTTCTTTTTTTCTCTGTCGATTTATTATACATTTGAAACTGTTAAAACGCTGAAGACGTTCCTTTTCATTTCTTCTTTTTTCATTGAACCCACTTTCTTTCTTTCTTTCTTTCTTTCTTTCTTTCTAGAACATCTTTCCTTCTTTCTTTCGTTCTTACTTCCTGGAACATTCTCTATTTTTTTTCTTTTTTCTTTCCGTCTCCTTTATTCTTTCTACTGGAACATCGTCCTTTAATTTCTTTCTTTCTTTCTTTCTTTCTTTCTTTCTTTCTTTCTTTGTCTACTTCATTTTTTCTTTTTCTTCTCTTTTTCTTTCATTTTTAAGTTCTTTCTTTCCTTTTTCTTCCGTTTTGCTTTTTCTTTCTCTCTTTTTCTCATTTTCCTTTCCACACACACACGCGCACATACACACACACATGTATATATCATAAAATAGGTTATTAGGTTAATGATCATTTTTATCTTGTAAATTGAAATAAGATTTACAATGATATTTCAAACCAGTCAATGAATGATAAATTATTGAAATAAAATTGGCTAGACAGAGGAAGGAAAGAAAGAAGATTAGAAAAATGGAAAAAAGGGAACAAATAAAAACTAGGAAGTAGTGTAAATCTGGATATGAGGGATGGTCAGAGGAGAAAGGAAGAGAAAAAGGGAGAGAAAAAGTAGAGAAGAAATGTTTTATTTATTTTATACACAGTAGCAGTCAGAATGTAGTCTAGACTTAAAGAAAACCTTCTTAAATCCATAAAAAATAATATATTAAATAAAGAGATAAACCCATTGACATAATTCAGAATTAAAGATATATTAAAATAAAGAATATATTAGAAAAAATAATAATAATAAATAACATATACTGAAATGATTATATTTATCTTAAGAGGAAGTATCTCATTTAACATCTACATTTAAAACAGCATATTTTAAGTTAAACCTATATTAAATTGGGAGGCACGATGGAGTAACGGTTAAGGACTCGGATTGAAGAATCGGAGGTCCGAGTTCCACGTTGAATCCATTACATAATATGAATCGTTTTCTTCTCCCCCAGCTATGGTTAAATAGACGAAAGAAATATCAACTTACAGCGGAGAAAAATCTGCCTCGTCAAGATCGCCTAAGCGTGTACCACACATGGTACATAAATGACTGGTATTAAATAATTCCAATCTACAAGGAAAGACTTAATATTTATCATAAAGATATATATACATATCTTTATGATAAATATTAACTGTTAATATTTATCATTACGAGATTTTATATATATATATATATATATATTTATGATAAATATTAACTGTTTTTTCCTGGTAGATTGGAATTATTTAATATTAGTCAGTTATGTGCCACGTGTGGTACACGCTTAGGCGATCTTACAAGGAAAAGCAGTTATAATATTTATCATAAATCTATTTAATTATCTTTTCTCTTGTTTATACTACAACAATGCTGAACTTTCTGAAGTTTCTGGGAGAGAGCAGATAACCTGACGTGATATTATTTTTTTTTTTTTTTATTTTAACAAGGCCAGATATCATCGGTGGCGTACGTATGCGAGAGCAGCCATCGGTGAACTTTTCCCCTCATCCAATTTCCTTCGAAAGGTTTGATATTTTCCCAAAGGTACTGCGCACTGGGTTGGCCTCCCCCCACCCTGCCCCCGGGCCGATAACAACAGAAAGTCACCTTACTGACCAAACGTCCTTGGTGAACTCATGGTTGTAAAGCAAACGGTCAAAACCACTCCGCCACGCGTCCATTTTCCATTTCTTTCTCTCTTTCTTTCTTCTCTCTCTCTCTCTCTCTCTATATATATATATATATATATATATATATATATATATATATATAGAGAGAGAGAGAGGTGTGTTTTTGTGTGTCTGTGTTTGTGTGTGTGTGAACGCGCACGCACGTGTGGGCGCGCGCGCGTGTGTGTCTGTGTTCGTTTGTGGTGAACTAATTTATTTTTTTATTTTCTTGTTTTGTTTTTATTTCATACTGATACGGAAGTAATCTTGTCGTTAACCCTACCTGGTTTCCACCCATCTTCGTCACATTCTTCCTCCTCTCTTTGACACCAATAAATCGCTAATTACACTCCATGATAAAAAAAAAACACACACACAAAAAACCCCCTCAAAACGCATTGTATCTTAAGTGTTATTCACCAAGGAATAATTAACGAAGTCAGTTGAGATGACGAAGACCACGTGCTTAAATAGATTTTTTTGTCTGGTGGAGAGAGAGAGAGTGTGTGTGTGTGTGGGGGGGGGTCGAGCTACAATCCACCGTGGCAGTTTTTAGTCCGAACCTGGCGTATGTGAGTGTGGAGGAATCTAAACGTTTTTGACTTTTTTTTCACTCTTTTTTTCATTAATTTTCTTCTGTTTTTATTTTTTACCTATTTACGCTTTTTTTTTCTCGCTTGTATTGTTCAAGGCAGATTTTGTCACTCCTAATAGTCCAATAGTTGGGGTATTAGTGTATGTACTAGTTTATTGCCAGAAAACTATTTATCGGATGCCCCCCCGTCTTTATTCGATTTTGCACTAGACCATTACGATATAAAATGATATAAATTAGAGGTTTTCTTACGATATCATTTTTACTCGCCTTTGAAACATACATCTCAAGGACCATAGCATTAGGGCCTTTTACAAGGTGTTGCACAAAGGAGTACTATTAGATTCTAGGCTTAGAATCAATGGAAGAGTAATCTCAATAATAATCCTTCCTAACGCGTAGGGAAGGCCCTGAAGGTCGTTGTTAACGCCTAGTCACCCGAGGCTCTTGCAATCAACACAGACGTCTTCCAAGGACACTTGAAACAACCCTTTTTTACTTTACATGAATGATCTGCCTAAGAGTATACTTCGAACATTTGTGAATATCTATATATAAACAATGATATATGAATGCACCTCTATATCTCGTGATGACCAGAGATTGACATCAGATATCTCCTCTAACATCTCAGGGGCGGGGAAACTGACTGGTTGCATTCAATGTCTCAGAAATCAAAATAGTTACATTCCATCATGGCCGATCAAACCCTGAAGAACCACCGCTCAAAATGGTTGTTCCCTCCAGGGAGACCCGCACCAGGAGCGACGATTGGGCCTCAGGCTCAACCCAGATCTTAGGTGGAACCTGTACATCGGTAAAGATGCAGGACAAATGGTCGGTTCTCTGTACCGCTCCAGCAATTATCTGGCTTCTCGTGCCATCCTTCATCTTTACAAGAGCCAGACCAGACCTAAAATGGAGTACAGCTGTCATATTTAGGAAAGAGCCGCCTTGTCCACACTGGGTGTCCCATACTTTCGGCCTTCTGCCACATCTAAGCTTCGCTTGGAAAATCACTATAAAACATAATATCAGTTGTACTTGGAACTGATTGCCGTCAATGACTAACTCACAGATCTCGTAAGTAATTTTGTATTACATTTTACTTCACCTATGACACATAATAGACAATATGTCACAATAGTCTTCGGTGTTTTATATCTGTTAAGTGTGTGATAGTAAAAGAATGGTTTAGTCTTCACCTTGAAGTGTCATGTTCAAGTGTTGCGGATGTGTAACCAGTAGTAAGTACAATGTTTTGGGTCAAATATTGGTTGGTTGTTTTGGCTCTATTTGTTTAGCGGCATATCAACACCTCTATGGGTTATTTAATACCGAAATCTAAATATATTGAACAGAATTTTATGGCTACAGTTACAGCTATTTTGTACAACACAAATTTACTAAAAACTCCCTCAATTTTCAAGCAATCTAATACAAACTTCACTCAATTGCAGCCAACAATAAGTTGATTGTTTAACAATCATTTAACTTGATAATTGAGTCCACCTATATAGTGAAAAACCGCGTAAATAGCGAATAATGGCGATTTTTATTGGTTTCTTTCTTATTTTTCGTTGAGCTTTCAACCAATTTTCATCAAACTTAACAACTGGTTTGTAAATGTATCCTATTTTACATTTCTGATAGCACACTGACGAAGTGAATTTCAAAAACTCCAAAATAATTATGGTCTGAAGTGGTTTTCATGTTGCCTGTTTTACCTCTTCATCTCTTCTGTTAATTTCGATTGAATAAATACAGACTACTTCTGTTATGTCAGTAACTCCATTAATTCAAAATGTTTTTAATGAAAGTACTTTAAAGTAATCGAAGAAGATAGACTCTGTTACATCTAAATATGATGCTGTTTTTGCTCCATTCTAATTGAACGCTTTTTCTGATCGACCAGCAGGGTATAACCGCTAGTTAAATCTATTTCTCCTTGTTTTTAATTGATAAGTATGTGTTTTATTCCTCGTATTAGCGAGGTTGTTAGCTTATTGAAATCTGAACCCAGTAGGTTCTGTCCCAAGTGACTGCTTCAAAAGTGCAACTTTATACCAATCATTTCTTTGAGTAAATACAGTTTTAAAATGGCGTTTTGTTCTTTTTTCTTTAATTTGCGATGAAAATTTGCCATCTTTACCAGCCTTTATTACTAAACTAATCCCTCAAATAATATAATATATCCCAGGATTGGCGAGTCGAACAGTAGTAATTAG